TGAGTTTGGGCTATGGGACTGCAGTTTGCTGAACCCGAACTAGAGCGAAAGTGAGAAACAAAGACAGGTTGGAGAATACAAACCATAAAGGGCATAAAGGCATGCACCATTGCACCAGGATTCTTTTTCTTTTTCTCTATCCAAGTCTCTGGGATGTTGGATGTGATGGCAAGAGTCACAGTAGTGATATTTGACCCTGAGGTAATAGACTGAATGTTTGTGCCCTTGAAATTCCTAGGCCTCAAACTGAATCTCCAGTAGGGTGCTATTTGGAGGTGGGCGTTTGGGAGGTTCTGCATAAAGGGTGTTCGTGTCATAATTGCCTTAACAAATGAAGGAGAGAGACCCCACAGAACTCCCTTGTGCTTTCTGCCCTGAAGTCACAGGGAGAAGATATCTATTAACTAAGAAGCAGGCTCTTGGCAGACACCAAATCTGATACCTTGACACTTCCCAGTGTCAACAACTGCAAAACATACCTCATACAAAGGGCTATTCTCCCTTAACAATTGAGATAGGCAATAGCATTACCCCAAAAAAGAGATATCTAGCAATAAATATAACGAAACATAGATAGGATCTGCAGGTGGGAAAGTATACATTCTGATGATGAAAGAAATCAAAGCGGTAAATAAAGAAGAGAGAGCCTATGTTCATGGGTTGGAAGACTTAATATTGTTAAGATGCCATTTCTTCCCCAGTTGATCTACTAGTTCAATGCAATCCCGATAAAAACCCCAGCAAGTGACTTTTTTTTTTTTTAATCAACAAGGTAAGAACAAAGTCAGAGGACTCACACTACCCATCTTTAAGATTTGCTATCAAACCATAGTAATCAAAACTTTGGTATATTTTTCCCTCTTTCTTCCTTCCTCCTTCTCTCTTTCTACCCAACCCCTCTTTTTTTTCTTTCTTTCTTTTTTTTTTTTTTCCAGTACTAAGCATTGAATCAAGGGGCACTCTACCACTACATCCCGAGCCTCTAATCTGCTGAGGTCAGCCTTGAACTTGAGATCCTCCTGCTTCAGTTTCTCAAGTCACTGGGAATTCAATGTGCAACCCCAACACCTGGGTGTGTGGTATATTTCAAAAGAATAGAGAGGGCTGAGGCTATGGCTCAGTGGTAGAGTGTTTGCCTGGGGACAACCTGGGGTCCATCCCCAGCACCGCAAATAAAAGAATAAATACATAGGGTGCTGGGGTCATTCTAGGGTCACGTCTTTCTGATTCTGGAAGTCATGCTGGGGTTAGGAAGTCAAGACTCTTAACAGGCGACTTAGCTTTCCATTGCTGTGACAAAATAGCTGAGATAAACAACTTTTTTGATTTTCATTAAATTTTTTTAAAGATTATTATTTTTTTTAGAGAGAGAGAGGGAGAGAGAATTTTTATTTTTTTTTTAAGATAGAGTGAGAGAGGGAGAGAGAGAGAGAATTTTTAATATTTATTTTTTAGTTCTCGGCGGACACAACATCTTTGTTGGTATGTGGTGCTGAGGATCGAACCCGGGTCGCACGCATGCCAGGCGAGCGCGCTACCGCTTGAGCCACATTCCCAGCCCCTAAGAGAAGCAACTTTAAAGGAGGGAAATTTCATTTGATGCACGGTTCCAGAAGCTTCGGCCCATGTCCCCTGGGCTCAGTTGCTTAGCCTGTGGCGACGGAGCCCATGATCATGGCCTTGGCAAGAGCATGCAGAAGACTCCATCTCAAGGCGTCTGGGAGGCAATGAAGGAGGCTGGGAGAGGCGGAGCTCCTTAAATCCCTTTTGAAGCCACGCCCCATGACCTCACTTCCTGCCCATAGCCCCTCCCCTTAAAGGTCCCACTACCTCCAGTAGCGCCACAGGTAAAGCAGCAAGCCTTTAACAGGTCAACATTTAGGGGACACTGCCAAGCCACCACAAGCTGTTGTTATAAACCAACTCTTTTGCAGTTCCCACGAAAAGACATGGAGGAAACTTAAATGCATATTACTAAGTGAAAGGAATCCATGTTTCTGAAAAGACCATATGCTGTGTGATTTCAACCAAATGACGTTCTGGAAAAGGCATAATTATGATGATAGTAAAAACACTGTTTGGGTGAGCTTTTTCACGGCTACGACCAAAAAGATCTGGCCAGAACAATTGTAGAGGAGGAAAAGTTTATTTGAGGGCTCACAGTTTCAGAGGTCTTAGTCCAGAGAAGGCGGGCTCCATTCCTCAGGGCTCGAGGTGAGGCTGAATATCATGGCAGAAGAGTGTGGTGGAGGGAAGCAGCTCACGTGATGACCAGGAAGCAGAGGGAGGGGTCTCCACTTGCCAAGTTCAAATATATACCCCAAAGCTATGCCCCAATTCCCACCTCCAGGCACGCCCAGCCACTTCAATGGCCGCTCTGTTAATCCTATCAGGGGATTATTCACTGACTGGGTTAAGACTCATAATCCCAATTATTTCTCCCCTGAACCTTCTTGCATTGACTCACACCATGAGCTTTTGGGGAATACCTCACATCCAAACCATAACAAATATAAATGCATGTGGGGCATGGTGGTGCACACCTGTAATCCAAGCCATTTGGGAGACTGAGGCAGGAGGATCACAGGTTGAAGGCCACCCTCAACAACTTAGTGAGGCCCTAAGCAATTAAAGGGATTGGAATATAGCTCATTGTTATAGCACCCCTGAGTTAAATTCCCAGTGCCAGAAAGAGAGAGAAAGAGAGAAGATGGGTTGCCAGAAGCACAAGAAGTCAAGAGAGGTGAATAGGTGGAGCACGGGGAATGTCTTAGAGATGGTGAAATCAGTAACCATGTGACATTGTAATGGTAAAATACATGACACTACACATTTGCAAAAACTCACATAAGTTTATAGCACAAATGGTAAATCTTAATAAATTCAAAATTTCATAAAGCAGGTCAGGAGATTCCAGGATAGAATGCAGAATATGAGAAAACAATCTTGCCATATTACAAGCAATCTTACTAAGATGTGAACATTTATTAGGAATACTAATAACCAGCTAAGAAACTTGATAGAATAGATGTATGGTAAAGCCTTACACCAACACTCTGGCCAGTCTACTGGCCAAGAAGTGGCATCCCAGGTAGGTAGAAGCGCAGATGGCAAACGCTGGGCTGGCCTGGTCACACAGAGCCTGCCATGCAGGCACAGCGGGCCAGCGCAAGGTGAGCTGGCCTTCAGGGGTCTGGTCTGGGCAGAGCCCACTGCAGGGAGCACAGCAGCGGCAACCCACTTGAATGAAAGGCAGGACTTAAGAATTGACCAATAGTGTTAACGATTCCAAACCCTAATTAGCATAAGTTTGGACCAATAGAATTAGTACACTTTCAAACCCTAATTTGCATAAGTTTCGACCAATCGCAGTGACTCAAGTGATATATAAGGCGCTTCACTGACACCAGAGGGTATTTAGTTTTGTTGTGCAAGGGTAGTTGTTCCTATTTTAGTAAATTGCATTTTAGTACTTAGGCAGTGGAAGGCTATCCCTTTCTGGTGGTGAATATCTGTAATCACAGTGGCTGGGGAGACTGAGGCAGGAGGATTTCGAGTTCAAAGCCAGTCTCAGCAACTTAGTGAGGCACTAAGGAGCTCAGTGAGACCCTGTTTCTACATAAAATACAAAAAAGAACTGGGGGTGTAACTAAGTGTTTAATTACCCCTGATTCAATTTCTGGCACTAAAACAAAACCCCCCAAATACCTGTAATGCTTAGTTGTTGAGGCTTGCAGCTTGTGCAGACTTCAGTGATGGGTAGAATCAATGGAGTGATTTTGTTGTAAGACTTTTGCTCTCAATAGCATCCCTAGGTTTGCCTCAAGGGGTAGAAAAACTCTTATCTACATCTGCCTAGTTTTATTAAAAACAATCTATATTTGGTTCTGCTGTCATTAAGTAGCTAATGGAAGACTCCAGGTTCTATGCTGAGTTTTTACTTTGATTCTCACCAAGAATATTCACAATTCTTTTAAACAGACTGTTTTCCCCTGACAGATACGGTGTGCCCATAATGGTCTTATCCTGAGGTGATCATATTGGGTGTTTGGAATCTATGCAGGAGTAAGGGAGCCTGGGAAAGTGTTGTGCCCACTCTCTGTGCCTCTGGGTTAGGGGGTCTACTTCCTTGGCTGGAAGAGATGATTTATAGGGGTAGAAAACAAAGGTCCAGGTGACCTTAAAGTCTCCATTTACTGGGCTGGGCGTGTAGCTCCATTGGAGAGGGTGCCCTTAGTATGCAGGAGACTCTGGGTTCAGTGCAGGATACCCAAAGAAATTTTTAAAAAATAAATAAGACAGCAGGGCACAGAGGCATACACCTCTATTCCCAGCAGCTTGAGAGGCTGAGGCAGGAGGATCACAAATCCAAAGTGAGCCTCAGTAACTTACGGAGGCCCTAAACAACTTAGTGAGACCTTGTGTGAAAATCAAAAAATAAAACAAGGGCTAGGGGTGTGGCTCGGTGGTCAAGTGCCCCTGGGTTCAGTCCCCCAGGGCTTTGTTTGGACTGTGGGTTGGACTTGGTGTGATTGGACCACGTCCTGTCTCTGTGGTTCTGGGGCAGGCGGGCGGAGGCGAAGGAAGGAGGTCAGGTGAGGGCCGAACCAGCCGAGTGGACCGTTTCTGTGGGTTGAATGTCGACAAGATAACGAAAAGTGGGGGCTCAGAGAGGGAAAGTAACTTGGCCAAGTCTGCACAGCACGAGACGTCTTGCCAACCTGGGATGCGTAACGGGCTCCGATGCCATGTCCGTGGCAGCGATCGGGGTCCAGGGGTCCCCAGGACGCCCCGGGAGGTGTCTCCCCGCGGTGGCGGTGGTGGTGGGGGGTGAGCTCCGGATCCCTGGGGAGGTGCAGGCGGCCGCGGTGGCGGTGTCCAGGGGCGGGCGGGTGGCGCGGGCGGGCGGGGCGGGGGCTGCTATTTCTGTCCCGTGAGCGCAGCCGGCGCCGGGGCGGGGGAGGGGGCGCCCGCGCCGCCATATTCGCTCCCGCCGGCGGCCCCGCGGCGCCACCACCATGAGCACCGCCGCCTTCCACATCTCCAGCCTCCTGGAGAAGATGACGTCCAGCGACAAGGACTTCAGGTGCGCCCCCGGGTCGCGCCTCCACGGCCACCCGGGGCCCCCCCTTTTCCCCAGCCCCAGACTGGGGACCCTCCCGGGGACCGTGCAGCCCGCCACCAAGCCCCGCTCCCCTCCCCCGCTTGGAGGCCATCGGACCCTCGGGGACCCCAGTCCCCGCGTCCCTGCGTCCCTGAGTCGTTTCCCGCCGCGCACCCCGCATCCGAGCCCCAGCTCCGCCCCTCGCACCCCCCCTCCCGGGCCTCTTCTTTCTTCTTTCACTCCCAGCCTTGGGGGGCCCCCAGGCCTCCCTTTCAGCCTCTCTCCTGGGCCTCCCAGCGCCAGCCTCTTCTGCCCCCTCCATCCCCCACCATTGAAACCCGGGACCACACCCCCTCCCCCTCCCCCTCTTCCCATCCCCTCTTCTGGCCTCTTCTCCAAGTCATCTGACCCCCCCTCCCCATCTCTCTCTCCAGATCACTCAGGTCCCCTGGGTCCCCTCATCCCCTCTCCTCCCCACGGCTCACCCACAAGGCACAGTGAGGGGCTGGGCAGGCACCGGGTCTTTCTTGGTTGGGGTTTGGACTTCTAGGTTCTGGGAGAGCCACCCCCTGCCCCCTCTCCCAGAACCACTGGGAACAGAGCTAGAAAGAAAGTCAACCCTCCATCCCAGCCCTCGGTCTCCAGGGAAACTGAGGCCCAGCAAAGAGAAAGGCTCCTGGTCCCATGGGCCAATTCTGCACCCTGCAAGCTGATGGGGCAGTTAGAGACCAGCGGTCACACCCACTTGTTAAACATGCTGTCACTTTAACCCCTTTTTACAGGTAGGGAAACTGAGGTTCAGAGGCTTGTGAAGGGCCTTAGTGCAATCATGTAGCAAAGGAGTGGAGAACTTGGGGTCCACATCCAGGTTACTCTAATCCGTAGGCCAAGATCTTGACCAGGCCCACGGAATCCCAGTTCCTGACCCGAGAGGGGACTGAGACCTGCTCTTGGGGTCTGATCCCTGCCCTCTCTGGCAATCCATTCCTCAGTACCCCTCAAGCACCCTTCACCCTCCAATAGGGCCTTGGAGCCACCACAGTCTTGGCTTCAGATTCCACTTCCCACCGTTTCCTGGCTGTGTGACCGTGGGCAAGTTACTGAACTGCTCTGAGCCTTAGTTCCTGTTCCTTCAAAACGGGGATAGTAACAGAGCCACCTCAGGGTTGGTGTGTGAGGATCAAATGAGGTAGGAGCCGGGAGACAGTCAGCTCCAGGTATGATGTTGATCGACGGCCACCATTGTGATTCCGTGCATGTCACCAACCAGCCATGCGCTATCCCTTCTCCAATCCTTGGCACCTCCTTGACCTCCCGCTTCATCTGTCAGCTCCCACTCAATTGTCACCACTTGGGGATGCCTCTTGACTGCAGACAGGGCTGCACACCTCCCCTAAGCTCCTGAACCACAAGGACTTTGTACTTCTTTTTGGTGACCCAGAGTCTATGCGGGGGGTATACAGTAGGTGCTCAACAAATGCTTGCCGTGTCCCAGGCTCTGTGCTGCGCTCCCCATGGTAATCTCCTCCACTCCACCCAGCCACTGGGTTGAGTAGCGATTGCTCTGTCCCGTGTCCCAGAGCCTGGGAGGGGTGCGGTGACTTGCCCAAGGTCACATGGTCAGCGCTGGGGATTTGCACCACAGTTTCTTGGGCCTCCATTGCAGTCTGCAGAGAGTTGGCCGTGCCAGCCAACAGTCTGTCCCTTGCCAGTGGCCTCAAGAACACTTAAAACCACCCGAGCATATGAGAATGGTGTCTATTTTTAAAGTCCGAATACCAGGGGGCTGGGTCCCTCTGACCAGCTGTCCAGATGCCCGTGTGGCCAAGTGTTTCAACAGAGCGCTGCTAGGGATTCCCTGCAGTGAAGCACACTGTGTTCCTCTGGCTCCTGGAGGGGACCAGTGACTGCAAATGAGGGTCCCACTCCCAACTTGCATCGCCCCCAGCGTTGGGTGCCAGGCTCATTTTCCTGGGTCCCCGCTTTCTTATGGCTCAACTTGGAGAAACCTTGCAGGAACTTCCAAATAATTCCTGGAAAACACAGTATCCACTGAGGAACCAGGAGACCTGTCCGGTGAGCCGATTTTCCACCCGCTTTGCTGTGTGACCTTGGGCAGTTCCTGCACCCTCTCTGAGCCTGGTTTCTGAGCTGGGCATTTATGGGAACTCAGCGGTTTCTGAAACACTGAGGCATATTTTAGAAGAGTTGAATTCCGCTTTCGGGTTTCCACACTCAGCTGTTTGGCTCTGCCGAGGGCTAGCGTTCCTCCTCCCTCCTCTCCTGCCCTCACCCTAGCCCCCAGGCCCTCTGCACACCTGTTCTTTGCTGAGCCTGGTGTCCCAGCGATGAATCTCAGGGACCCTGCTCTCTCCCCAGTTCAAAATCAAAAGGAAGTACTGCTCTGGTGACCAAATTTGCTTTGCAGCCCAGCGGGGACTGTAACAGAGGGATTCAAGTTGCTCTGAAAAGATCCTGTCCAGTTGTGCTTAAGTGTGTTGGGTGGGGTTAAAGCAGGGAGGTGTCACCTATGAGGCTGGGACATTTTAAACTGGGCTCTTGACGGATGAATAGGAGTTCAACAGGTAGAGACGGAAGAATTTTCCTGGGAGCACATTCCCAAGGTTGTGAGGCTGAGCAGAGCTTCCGTGGACTGTAGCGGAAACACGCAGCTTGCAGACCTTGTCTTCCTTCTCAGAATGTCCCCTCAGCTGAGCAGAGCTGTAGATGCATGTGGCCACCTCACTTTTTGACCTGGCTCAAAGCCAAACCACCTCCTTCAACCTTACCTTGGCCCACAGGTAAACACTGTCAGCCCGGCTGTGTCCTTTCCTCCAGCCCAGAGCCCACCTCCCCAGCCCTTTATATTTTTTTATTTAGAGACAGGGTCTCCCTGAGTTACTTAGGACCTTACTAAGTTGCCGAGGCTGGCCTCCAACTCGCGATCCTCCTGCCTCAGCCTCCTGAGCCACTGGGATGACAGGCATGCAACACTGCACCCATCAATAATTCAAATGTTCATTTTTTTTTTTTAACTTTGGATTGAACCAGAGAGGGGGACTCTACCTTCTTATTCGGAGACAGGGTCTCTCAAACGTTTGAAAAGACATTTGCAAGCTGGTCACTACCGAGAGCTCAAGTCCACTTCTGAAGCCCCAAGTCTCCCTGTCCTAACAGCTGAGACTCCCACTGCCATCTCAAATGCCAGGGACAGGGCCTCAGGCCATAGGCACTGGGCCACCCACCTGTGGGTGCATGAAGCGCTTGACTCTGGTGCCCAGCCCAGCCAGTGAGCTGTGTCTGTGGCCCTATTGTTCAGCCATCTGTGCTGGCCTCCAGAACATGCCCAGGGCCCATCAGCCTGGCCTAGGACAGTGGTCTCCCATGGCGAAGGCCTTGACCTTGAAATTCATGCAGGAACTTGTTAGAAATGCAGATTCTCAGGCTGCAACCTGGACCCCCTGATTCAGAAAGTAGAGCTGGGGTCTGGCGTGATTGACAGTCCCCTGCAGGATGGGGGCTTCAGTCCGGGGTCCTTTGGTCTAAGGGCAGGACCTCCACTGATTTCCTCAAAGTGGGGTGGACAGGGCCAGCCTCCCTCCTCTGGTGGAGGTGGCCCTTGCTGACATCTGACTTGGTCCTGTAGCCCCCGTTTCACATTCTACTGTCCCCCCCCCCCCCGCCTTCCCCGTGGTGGCTATGAGACACGAGGTACGGAATGTGCCATCTTACAGTAGCAGTGACATTTACGGAGGGCTCTCCGTGTGACCCAGCCCCGCCAGGCAGGTACCATTCTTGTCCCCATTTTCCAGACAGGTAAATAAATGAAGGCTCAGAGAGGTGAAGGGACTTGTCCAAGTTCATATTTGCAGAAATGACAGAGTCAGGAGCCCGAAGCGTTTAGCCACACTGGGCCACCCACTCCTAGTCTGCCACCCTGTGCTGGGGCAACTCGGAGATTACCAATTCCCAACTGCTCAGCCATCCTCCTCCTGTGCCCCGTCCCTCCTCCCCAGGTTCATGGCCACCAGCGACCTGATGTCAGAGCTGCAGAAGGACTCCATCCAGCTGGACGAGGACAGCGAGTGCAAGGTGGTCAAGATGCTCCTCCGGCTCCTGGACGACAAGAATGGGGAGGTGCAGAACCTGGCGGTCAAGTGGTGAGTGTCACCTTCCTTGGGGACAGTGACTCAGTCTGGGGTTCTCCCAAAAGTCAGCCCAGAGCCCAGTAAATCGTTGAGGCCTGCCTCAGACTTTGAGAGATCTTCCTGCCTCAGCCTCCTGGGTAGCTGGGATTGCCAGAGGGTACCTTTCTTTCTAGCCACACAGCGGGTCCCCTGTTGAACGCGGCCATTTTCCTCAGTACATGAGGCCCCAGAAGAAGCCGGAGGGGAATTAAGGGTGGGGGGACAGCCTGGCTTAGGCTAAATCTGGGGCTTTGGGACCCATCTCCCTCCCTGCTCAGCCTGGGTCCCCTGGTGGGCAAAGTGAAGGAGTACCAGGTGGAGACCATTGTGGATGCCCTGTGTGCCAACCTGCGGTCAGACAAGGAACAGCTCCGAGACATCGCTGGCATCGGCCTCAAGACGGTCCTCTCAGAGCTGCCCCCCGCGGCCACAGGTACCCAGGACCCCAGGTCTCGGCACTATTCTTTGCCCAAGTTTACGGGGAAGGAAAGAAATTTACCCGTGGTCACTGTGGTAGAGAATTTAGACTGGATCCATCTAAATCCACGACGCTTGTGTCCTTTAGGAGTGCTTTGAGTGGCAAGTAATCCAACCTAAACTGTGCAGCTTAAAGAAGTAACGTGGTGTCTCTGGAGGGACCTCATTTTCATAGCGATTTACTTAGCAGCTTAGTATTGACATGGCTGAGGTCTCTGCCCGCATCTCCTCCCCTTTATAAGGAAAGCACATATTTCCCCCAAAGGAAATATGCCCACCTTGCCCACCATGCATCCCGCACAGGCTCTGGGCTGGCCACCAACGTGTGCCGGAAGATCACGGGCCAGCTCACCAGCGCCATCGCCCAGCAGGAAGACGTGGCTGTGCAGCTGGAGGCCCTGGACATCCTGTCTGACATGCTGAGCAGGTGAGGGAGGCTGCCCTGGGCATTGGGGGCCGGGGACACGCACAGCTGCAGGCTAGCATGGCTGAACACCAGGCCCTTGACCGTCCAGCAGCCCTGCAAAGGAAAGCTTGGCTGTCCCCATCAAACAGGCTCTGAGAGGCCATGTGGCCGTCCCGAGGTCACACTGTCACCCTTGGAGAGCGCCTTTCTATTTCCAAGGGCCATCTATCTGGTTGCCATTTTTCTGGGGGGAGGAGGACAGGAGAGGATGGGGACCCGGGGACCGTGTGTCTGGGGCCCCCAGCCTGACGCTCCGCTCTGGCCGTCGCAGGCTGGGCGCGCCGCTGGGCACCTTCCACGCCAGCCTGCTGCACTGCCTGCTGCCCCAGCTGAGCAGCCCGCGCCTGGCCGTGCGCAAACGCGCCGTCGTGGCTCTCGGCCACCTGGCGGCGGCCTGCAGCACCGACCTCTTCGTGGAGCTCGCCGATCACCTGCTGGACCGGCTGCCCGGCCCGCGCGCCCCGGCCAGCCCAGCCGCCATCCGCACTCTGATCCAGTGTTTGGGCAGCGTCGGTCGCCAGGCCGGCCACCGCCTCGGTGAGGGGGCAGGGCTGAGCTCCGCGGGGCACTAGGAGAGGGGCGGGGCCTGGGCAGATGTGGGCGGGGCCTATGAACCGCGTGCTAGCTAAGGGGCGTGGTCGGAGCGTCTGGGGGCGGGGCTCGAGGGGCGGGGCCTAAGAACCGCGTGCTAGCGAAAGGGGCGTGGTTGA